TGAATAACCACAACCTTTTCTACGAAATTAAAAGAGGAATAGTTCCCACTCAGGTGATGGTATTGATGCATTTGCCTTCAAATTATCTTTTTTCCCTGTAATCAAACACTTAGATCTAGAATATTTTTTTCTAACTAACAGCATCTGTAGCAATCAAAATGTTATTTGAAGTTAAAGAAATGTTTCTAACTTATAGTGGCAATAGTTTGATCCTTATTTCATTGTATATCTATTGTTGTTGCAATTATAGTTTTTTTTCTTTTGTTCAGGGTCTGACTTTCCTCTTCTGGCATTTCCAGAGGAGAAAATAACCAATGGAAAGAGAGGCCTTTTAAAATTCAAGTATGTATCATACAGTTTTTCTTAATCTTAATCTAAATCTAAATCTATTGAGTCAGTAAAATCACACAACATCACACAAACTCTAAAAATAATAATAACAATAATAATGTTAAAAATCTAAGAGCTTAACATAATACAATAATATAAATTCTGAATAAAAACTAGTACAGTAGAATATTAAAAACAACTGAGTACCTTAGATCTAAAACTGTTAACAGACAATGTATTTTCTGCCATTAACAATGATTAAGTACTTTTAAAGAAATTTTACACTTTTTAGATGAGCAGTTTTATTTTCGTTCAGTTCCTTGTTGACCAAAAGTGAAGTTCACAAAGTAACTCAGCTGCCATCATAGTGTGTAAAGTAATAACACCCAACATTTTACTGCATATTTAGTACCTTTCTAAGGCTTGAAACTTAATGTAGTTAAGTTTCAACCAAATTATATATTTTAGTAGTGTTTATTTATGTTTTGTGTTTATTTACTATGTAAAAGCTTATCGCAATTTAAGCTTAGTTCTTCATGAATTATTGGCTATTGGGGCCAGGATCGTGGCATTGGCATTTGGTCGTGATAATTACCAATATTGACTGTCAACTTGATAAGTTCAAAATGTGACTGATGAATAATTTGATGCATTTCTGACAAAGTTTTTTTGGTTTTCCTTACTGTTACAGCTCATGGTGTTTCCAGTTTAGCAGCACTGTATTACCTGTAAGTGGTATTACTGGCAATATCTTCTCTGTCTTTGAATAAATTTTACCTCAATAACTAAGATTAACACAATTCTAGTCACTGATGGGTAAGGGAGTTGTAAAGATTAATATCATGGAAATGGTTTGGAATTCATGCAAAAGTAATGTACAGTTAAAAATTTATTTTCCAAGGTCTTGGAAGATTAGGGAGAAGTGTGTTTTTCTTTTAGTTCCAGTATTCCAGTATTTGTGTTTATCTTCAAATACCTTTCTAATGATATAATTTTTTGATTTTTGCAGGCAGTAATCACAGTGAGACGCCCTCTTTTTGTCCCAATACCCCCTGTGAGTTTGTATTCTCATTCAGTAAAATAGTTTTGAAATTGTAACTTACAGAGGGTGGTTCTGGAAGTAAACTTCTAAGGATTTTCCGTTACTTTCTATAATCTTAGATATGTGGGCATTCTGAAAATTTTGCACTAAAGAGAGTTTTGGTAGCTTTTAGAAAGTAGAAGGATTTGCATTAGAGGATTATGCTTTCCTATCAATATTTTGCCTCAAATACATTCTTTACCCATGGATAGGCCGCAGGTTTTTATTTGAAAAAAAGGGATGAAACTTGGGGGTACAGCTTAATATACACTATTGAAGCATTTTGACACCAGCATCAGTAAAGTGTTTTTCAAATTGTTGTACTTCTCTATTATTTCAAAATGAACATCACTTTAAAATTACTTTAATTGGTAATTGGTTTCATTACAACAGCTACGTGATCTCTGATTGCAATTCACTAATTATTTTTTTTCCACAAACATTAATCAAAAATTTGTGGAGCAGCCCATGCATGGGTGCAACATATGTGCTGGTAAATACAGAAAATATTTGCATTCTGACTGTTTTCTAAGTAGAATATGATATTTTCATTTCTTGAGTTAACACAACCCCAGCTTACCATTTGTAGGTCACTTGACCAACTGTTACAAAAGGCCTTTTCTGATAAATTGTTTCCTTTGGTTTGTTATTTATAAGTTAAGAAAAGAAAAACTCAGCACATCGACAATTAAGTTTTTGGCTGTCAGTTTGAGATAAACAATCAACTAATATTATAAATGTATAGTTTCCAGCTTCAGATAAGTAATGAAACAAACATTAAGTTTAGACTGAAAGCCAAAAGCTTCAGATTTTAAGATTGACTTTTGCTCAAAGAATGGCCTTTTATGGAAAGATGAATTTCAAGTCCTAGTTGCTCTTCTATTTTAAATCCACCAAAACTTGTTTATCATAAAGGAATGCTATTATAATAATAAGACAATGATATAAAGAAAAGTTTTTAAAACTGTTTCTCTTTTCGATAGCATGTTTTAGGAAGTGGTTGGTGGCAGGACTTTTCTTGGTCTTTGTTTGTACCATATACACTTTACAATATAAGGTGAGTTCCTTCAGGGGCCAGTGTCCCACAATGAGGGTATATTTTTAAAGAAACAGTGGTGCTGCATCAGTAAGGGGGAGTAACAAAGATAATTTGGGTTAACTCCCTCTGATTCTCTTTGCTTTAAAAAAGGGCTTACTCCTAAGGGATCGATCCTTATGAGCTCCCAGTGAAATGAAGCCTTTTTGTTATAACTTTAATTAATTATTCTGGTTGAGTTTTCTGCTCATATAGCAGATGCCTATTTTAGCATACAAGAGAAATATTAGCTCAGCTCTTGATTGCTAATCAAAAATATTCATATCTTTAAAATCTTTTTGTTGTTTTATGCCATAGATATTTTCATTCATGACAATCAATATCAGTACCTTCTAATTTATCTTTTTTCCCCAAAATCCTGTGGATGATCAGAAACCTTTTTTAATACTTTTTTGCAGATTTCTTCCTCCAGTAGAATCCAAAGTAGAATCCAAAGCAGAAGACATTTCCAGTGATATACAGAAGGTGTGACACTCCTCCACCCTGGTCTTATATTTATTTTTTATTCCTAAATTACTACTAAAATACAGCAAAAGAAATTTGTCAAAAGAGTTGGACTCAGTTGTTTGAAATTCTCAAAGCATAGTTTCCTACATTGCATGTAAGTTATATATACCCTAACCCATTTTTAACATGATGCAATTCATGGATAAATTTCTCCGATGAGAGCCGATCAGATTGCAAGGATCACCAGCGATTTCAAAATGCATGTAATAATGGCTAAAATGCACCAAGGAGGTTATTCCAGAATGCATCAATTTCAACTAATCACCTGTAGGTAGATGTGAGTGACAGTGACAGAGAAAATCATTAATTTCGACCTCAATACTTGACAATGACCAGAAGTTGAATGGCAACACAGAAAGTACCATTTTGTGACATTTATACAAATTGTGACTAGATTTTCAGCGCCAATAGTTGTATAGATTGTCTACAAGTTTTTTTCAGTGACAAGAGTACACAATTTGGCATTCATTGCATGATAATGTTTGTTCTTGATATTGCAGCACATGGCTAGTTCCTCTGGGCTGACACCCACAAGCTTCACTGCTCAGGATGTAAAAGACCTGGAAGCAGGTATACCTTTTCTTTTAAAAGAGCATCAGTGAAGTCAAGTCTCAGAGGCCTAAAGTGACCCATAATTTTTGCTGCTTGTCTTCAGTTGCTATATCATAGAAGGATTACTAGGAATAATGCCTCCAGGATGGAGTGCTAGTTCATAGCAAGTTAACCCCCTGCCACCCCTCTCTCCAACAATTCGTCTGATTTTCACAGACAGTCTTATAGAACCAATTTTATTCATCTGGATGGAGATCAGAGGAGCATTGTGAAGGCAATTCAAAGTATCTTGTGCAAGAAACTTAACACAATGATGCAACCAATGTGTCTTGCTCCAGGCAGGCCACTGTGCCTGGTTACCAGTTTGTCACAGCATTTTCTATAGTTTGACTGCAAGAACTTTGGATGCTCAAACAATTAAAAAAAATTCTTTGCACAAAACTCATCTTTTAAATATAATTTATTTGTGTGTTGTGTTGTAGTTCATAAAAATCCCCAATCTCAGGAACCTAAGTCAGCCCCAAATGGAAGCACCCCTCCCAGTCAGCCCCTGAACAGTACAAGTCGAAACACAAGGCTGGCAAGAATGGTACAGCAGGTTAGAGAAGTACTTCCTCAGGTTCCCTCATCAGCTATATCAAGAGATTTGAGTAAGTTGGTTTTAATTACAAAATTTGAGTAACTATTTCTGTCATGAAACCAATTTGTAATATATTAGACAAATGGAACTTGATTCCAGTTTTATCTTTTCAAGAGATTTTGATTAGCTAGATATTTAACAAACTGTTCTGAATGTTTTGTCTGTGCTGTAAATCATAAATGAATGATTTATTAAAAGCTATAATTTCTGTTTATTATGTTCGTTGGAGGGTTGTCGATCACCTTGTAAAGCGAGGTGTGCCAACTACTTTTTCCACTCATTAGTTATATTATTGTGAAGTAATATGTTGCATGTTTAATCAGTGCTGTAAATTGTTTAATATTAACAGCTAGATATAGTTTGTTACTCATGTCAATTGTGCATCATTTGAAGTTAATCACTACATCTTGCCCAGTTAGAAGGAGTATTTTTAGTACAGAGTAGAACAATGTAATGATTTAAACCTTACATCTACATTGTAGCTTTTCAGTCATTGCTCATTGCTACAAAGTAAGCTGAAGAACTGAAGTGCACACAACCAACCATAGTCTGACATCTCCTTACCTTTTTAGCCCACCCCTCCTAAATGCATGGCATGTTCTCTTTATTCAAGGTCAGACACACTGTGTTGATACAACTATCACCAATATTTTGGAAGGAAGAGTCAGCTACACACCAGAGAAAGAGGACAGGGAAGCTAAGTCAGATAGTGATGGGAAGACTGCCTCTTCAGGGAATGCTAATGAAGTGAGTGTTTTTGTCATGACAGTGAGTCAGGGCAATCCAGTGTGTTTGTTTGTTCTTTTTTAATCAAGACTATTTCTTTCAGAAAACTTCAACTACACCTCAAATAAAATTTTCACGAAATTCAGAGGAAAGGCAAAGACTTCTTAATCAAAGGAAAGCACAAATGCTTGAGAATGCAAGAAGGTAAAAAAGAAAAACATTGCAAATTTCATGCTATATATAACACTGTTATCACAAATGTAATGAATGTACAGTCTATTCCTATTTACTGAAATTGCATGATTACTGGAATAATACAATAAGGATCAAGCAACATGTATTGAGTGACAGGAGTGATAGAAGTAACCCAGAATCAAATTGGTTTTGTTGTTACATTGATGTAGGACTGGTCCAGAAAACTAGTGCCACCCTCTTAGTCAGTCAGATGCAAAATTAAAGCCAATCACATCCTGGTTGTATTTTCTTGTGCTTCAGACAGTTTGCTTGTTTTTACTTTTAGTTCTCAATTGCCCCTTCCTTTGCTGTGATTGGCTTTTGTGATTACTTTCAATGGGTTTTAGTTTCAGAACACTCCATCCAAAGGGGTTTTAAAATAACTTACCTTTCTTTTGTTTTTATTTCAGGCGCTTTAGAGATAATCAGCTTTAAGACTAGGAACACTGATGATCATAATTATTTTGTGTTTCTTGGAAGTCACCTGTTCCATACTTCACTTTAAAGTTTGTTTTCCCTGAAATACATGTTAGTTTGATAGGGTATCCTAGTCCCCATCTTTGTCTAGCATCTTTTGCTTCAAATTTGTAGTTTATATATATTTATCATCCATAATTATTATTTTTATCTTCCTGATAATTCATACTTAGTCTGGCAGATCTATGAGTTTACATTGTCTTTTCTCCATATCTGACTTTTTACTTGTGGCTTGGGGTTTTGTGTGCTTCAAGTATGTTGTGTAATGCCAGTTGATATTTAATAGAAGATGACTTAATTTTTAGAACAAGTAGTTTATGAATTGCTCCCTATTAATAATTTTTCACACAAAATCCAGAGGGATGCACTAAGTGAATTGATTTTAGGATAAAGTTTGTCATGTACCTAAAGTATGTGTACTTGACATTCTAGCTGGGTGATAGACTTGGAGATAAATATTGGAATGCATACTGAGTCAAGAAAAAATAGTAACCTACTGGGTAAGCAACATGTTGGGTATTGTTAAGAATATTTTTTCAGATTTCAATGTAATGTTGTCGGAATGCATTGACCAACACCAACATTTAGTATTATAGAATATTCACTTTTTTAAAATTTCAAAAGATATCAGGCACATACAGTGTAAATCTTCAATAGGACCTCAATAGAAGTGTCATTCTGTTGGGAACCAATAAGAGCTAGAAAGCCAACTGGCCTTCAAAACTCCTTACAAATGAGAGGGTGAATAGGGTTGTCTATCATTAATAATTATTCCTATAATAATTGATTTTCCTAAGAGTAACTAGAGTATAAATGTTAGTAGTAACAGGTTATATTATTAATAGCTGCATATTAACATATTTATGAAAAGTGAATCCTACTTGAGCAGAAAGCAGGCCTAAAAGTATAGTTGGGTTTGTGAGATGAATAAATGCATAACCTAACCCTTTCAAGTTATTGTTGGATGTTGTAGTGTTTGCATAATGCAAACATTTTTTTTCAACAATCAGGGCTGGGTCTCCTTCCAGTAGTGTTTTTGAATTGCTCCCAGTTTGACTCCTCAAAACATCGTGATCAAGTATTTACAGTAGAACCCAACCAACTAACTAAAACCAATTAACTATAACCAACTAAAAATTGCTCCCAGTTTGACTCCTCAAAACATCGTGATCAAGTTTTACAGTAGAACCCAACCAACTAACTGGGTTTATTTTAATCAATAAATAGTTTAATCCGGTGTAAAAGGAGTCCATGCTATAGGTAAATGAATAAAGGAGTAAGTTCTAAAGAAACTGTGGTGCTGTATTGGTGGGAGAGTATAGCAGGTAATTTAGTGTTAACAACTGAGTTGAAAACGTAAATTAGCCACCATAAAGGGTAAAAAAGCTGATGTTTCAAGCGTTAGCCCTTCATCAGAGCGATTTGTTGACGATTCGTCAGAGCCCTCCTTCGTCGATTCGTCAGAGCCTATCACTCTGACAAAGGACTAACGCTTGAAACATCAGCTTTTTTACCCCTTACGGTGGCTAATTTACATTTTCAACTCAGTTGTTAACACTAAATTACATCCTATAGGTAGATGCAAATGATAAATTAGTTTAGGTAATAACATGATTAGGAATTTGGCTTTAATAAGCCAATACCCCAAGTCATCCTTTTACACTTAACTAGCAAATCATGTGAAGCTATGCAGAGCAAGGTTTGCATACTAAGTAGGTACCTTCGAGATATTTACACTTTACAAAATCATTTTCTACCTTAAATTTCGTAGTCTTCCAACTTGTGTTGATGAAATATGCACTGATTTTCAGCCAATCAGAAGCACTCAGTTTTTTATGTACATTATTAAAAGTATTTATTAATCTTTTCATCCCCAAGACTTCATTAGTAATTCTCCTTACTGTCTACCATACAATTCTTGTGATGTGAGTTTGGAGAATTTGGTATTGTATCAACTAACAATCCCCTAATTAATATTTTTCATTTTCTCATCACTTGTCTGCTTGATGTTGGATTGACATTGTAAGGGAGAAATTCTGTCTTGTCACTTATGGGAGTTGAGGGGTTTTGACTTTCACATTTACATAACTCCAGATGATAGACAGCCAGTGAAGTGTATGGTCCTATGTGTTAGTTGCTTATAATCATCTCATATTCAACAAGCATGTGTTTATGCTCATAGTAACTATTACCAATTTTTAAGAAAATTAAATTGAAATAAAAAGAAAACAAAAGAACCTCTTTGGGGGAAACCAGCAGTGATATGACAATTTAAAAATTAAAGTAATTTTTTCCTAAGAATCAAAGTTGTATCATTTGTTAACTTTTTAGTTTTCTCTTTCCTGATCTATGCCACAACTTTTCATAATAACAAGGGTTGGATAAATTTGGCAACATTGTAAATCCATCATTTTCTGGGAGACTTATAATTACTAAAAGTTAATTAACACTGGACAAAACTCAGAAGAAACTTGAAATATAATTAAAATTTGGCAAGCATTAAAAATTTAAACTTCATGTATTGAGTTCTTGCTTAAAACTGTTGGCCTATTTAATGTTGGAATTCTATAATTTGTCTGATTTTAAAAGCACTGTCCTATGATTGAATAATTTCATTAAATAATTCTTCCACATATGACTTAAATTCTTCTTTATCTTCAACATCTGGAAAGCAGCAGAGACAAAAGTGTGATCTAGAATCACCAATTCTTGACTGTCCAGCCACAATGTTTTTAAAATGTGGGGTACTTCCTTGAACACGAGCAATTTGCTTTTCATCAGATGTGTCTGATTGCTTGCAAACTGTGTTAAGTGTTCTTTCACAAGAGTTGTCCCTTGTGATCTCTGTTTTATCACCAGGTAAGTGTTGTTTAGAAGCTAGACTCCTCTTCTCTTTGCCACTGCATTCAGAATAGCTCTTGATGCTGTGTAGATTGTCCAGAAATGCCTTCTTCTGCTTGTTTAACTGGGCTGCCAAGAACTGAAGCTCTTTTTTCCCCTTTCCACTGCCTGCATTGGTAATATTTTAGGAAAATAGAGCAATTTTACCAGTCATAGAGTGGATAAAAATTTTAACAATAATACCAATAAATATTTTTATTGCAATTATTATTATTATTTGCAAGGTATTGGAATACTTGCATATGGCTGCCACTGTTCAAATATGATTATTTCTGATCTAACAGATAATTTTTCCTTCTTAAAATATAGAAAAATAATAATAAAATAATAGAATAACCTCCCTCTCAGACAGTATTAAGAAATTAAACATTTCCCCCCTTCTATCTGCACATCATTGTGAGGTTAATCGAGCAGAAACCATTTGGTTTACTGAGAAAGTTTTTTTTTTTTAGCTTGACATGAAGTAAACATAGTGCAATAAAACATGAATGAACCACTGTAATTTATTTGGGAATTGGAAGGAGAATCCTCTAAGTGAAACCTGTCCCACATTAATTACGGTTTAACACACTTTCATGACTAAAAGCATCAATTATTCAAATTATATCATAACTTACTGGTACTTGTTCATTAATATTACAATTTTTTTGAAATTATTTCTATGCGATGGAGTCAAAACAATATGCAATGCATGTTTGCACATGTTTGTGATGTACAAAAACACAAAATAACCCATAAATACCTTTATTGGGATTATGCAAATGAATTTGAATAGGAGAACAGAATAATTTGAAGTAACTGCAATTTTTATATCACAGAAGGAAGACAACTATCCTCTGCCCTCCAGTTTGGATCCAGTTTTATTTTAAACCTGACATGACAAGTGGCATGTAATTCTTAATTTCTTATTGTTAAAACCTACCTTTTGCCTCAGAGATAACCTTACTGACATATTTTCTAAGAACCTGGTCAGTCTGATGGACAATGCTTGTTATGCATGCCATTCTTGACTTTTCCTATAAAAGCATAAAAAGAGAGCCTCTACTACTTAGATAGCTTCCTTAGGTTTTTAATTGACTAAATTTGCACTTGTTTATTGATTTCTTAATTTGAGATAATACTTCTTAAAGCAGTAGACTGCATTTTTTATTGGTCTATCGGTATAATAACCCACTTGAGATGTAAATCACAAGCTGGAGTGATGTACAAACTTCTTTTGTGTTCTCCCAACATCTCAATTGGGTTATTATGCTGGTAAACTGATAAAAATGTGAGGCCTATTGCTTTCATAAAATGTATTTCAATTGTTGTAATCTTCTATGGATTTACCAGTGCAATAAACAAAAGCTTTTTTGTTTTTTTACCAATCTAGTATATCAGTTATTTATGAAGGCTTATAGTATCTATGGATGAGCAAAACAATGATTATGGCTCTGGCTTTACTATTAATCATGATCATGTTGTCAGCAAGGGGTATTGTAATTTTCTCATTGATTGATTAAATCTCCATAAACAAAGAAACATTATTTTGTGAGCAGTACAGGTAGTCCAGAGTTCAAAATCCATCAGTCACAGTTATAAATATTCCCACCTTTTCCTCAAAGTCCTCCACACATTGTACTGCTGGGTGCTTCAAAGCCTCTCTAATAAGTAGAGTCACACTCTCCCTTACGAAAAAAATTTTAAATAACATACATCACATCACATAAGAATTTTCAGGCATCATTTATTATTAAACTGTTATCATGAGATGTATCTTAAATAAACCTGATCCCACTCTGAAGAAAGTCCAGTCTATAAATAATTTTTTCTAAGTATTCGGAGAAATCAGTTGTAAACCAGTCTTAAAGACTATTTAAAGGTGTCGCCTCCTGTAATTCCTTTCAAAGCAATTATAAAAATGAATTTAAAAATGAATAAATGAATTTAAGTCATTTTTAGTGCATGGCCCCTTTTTCATATAAACAAAAATGTCAATCATTGATATAGAGAAAAGCAATGAATTCAGAGAGGAGCTAAACCTTCTATATGATGCATTCACATTATGAATGGACTCTTGTGAGAATTTGGATGTTGTGGAATAAATGCAATATTCAAATCTTCTCAGCGGATCAACCTACATTATTTCAATATCCCATTGTACTTCAGATTTAAATGTGACACTGAACTGCTCCCAAGGAAACTTATCAGGCTCAGGAGGTTCCATTTTACTAAACATATTCTTCATAGTGTCTGATGACACTGGGTGGCTCCTTAAGTTGTTTCTCTCCTCTGCAATTTCAAGTGGACACTTCAAGAACACTTCTGCAAACCCAGCTCTGTCTTCCTTGAAACAAAACAGTGACAGCTGAAACACTCTTTTTCAGTATCATAGTAGTAACCAGAATTTTATTGGGTGTGGTTGAAGTAGTTCTGGACAATTTCTTTGGATGAGCCAAGTATTACATAAAACAATGGATAGACTCGGAACTTACCTAATAACTTGGTAATTTAGTATTATCAGTGAATGGATATTATGTAAATTGTCCACCACGAAGAGTTTCAAAGCTGATTTTTAGCTTTAAAACTCTTCAAGGTGGCCAATTTACATAATACCAACTTCTTTATAATACTAAATTACCCTGTTATACTCTCCCACAACGCAGCACCACATTTCCTTTAGAAAGAAACCCCCTTTATTAATTTATCTAATGACTGGATGGAGTATGGGCAGCTCCCCAGAGAGAAGGGGTGTCATCCCAAAGAGTAATGTACAGGATAGAGTAGGGTTGCTGCTACACAAGTCATTTAGAATTTATATATCAAATTCTAACAGTCTTTGCAGGAGTTGATCATACAGAACATATCTCGTAGTCCCCTTCACCAAGTACAATAAAAAATCTTAGATACAAGTTTAAAAAGGTAAAATTCCTTCTTCCTTGAAAATTATCAAGTTTCCCTATCAAGTATGGTTGAACTTTTTTAAAATTTTGTAATTTTTAATTGATTTGTATTAAGTATGTCCATTCCAGCAACTACTGTACCAATGTGTGGGGTGAGACTGGGACAAACTGATCAATTCTTGAAGTGGAGGAGGATGTGATCCTAAATCAAATATCTCTACCTTTAAGATTTTGAGAAGTTGGCCTCTCTGTGTAACTGCATTGTCTATCATTTAATTCCATGCATACCAGTACCTTTGGTGTAGGCTTAAAAGACCCCCCTATGTGTACAGTTTACTTACATTTTCTTGCTAGCTGGACGTATTCATACCGCATACTGTGGTAAAACATATTGTCATCCACTAAAATGACATGAGCACTACCATTCCACCTGTAACAATGAGAGTGATATGCATGAGGGTTAAATCTTTAGCCTTGAAAAATCATTGATCTATAAATGATGGGATTCTGGGCAATTTCAGGTGGCAACCCCAAGCAAATCCGCTGGCGTAAGTCCGTGGTCTTAAAGCAATCATGGCATGGGATGAAATACGTACGTATTTTACCTCCAGCTACTTGAACCACTCTCAATGCAGGAACACTTTCTGTCTTTCTTAGATATGCTTCTTAGGAAAATGCCCCAAAACTCTTGAAAACCAGACAATCCTTCCATCTTCAATTCAACTGCCTCAAGATTTGATCCGCTTCCTTCATCTCCATTTCCACATGGACTATTTTGTAACAAATTCATAATTTTTTCGACTGCTTCGAGTATGTATTTTCTGTGCTGTTTCCATAATGAGTAGTTCTCAAAATTCTCTAGAGTCTCGCTATTACCAACCCTGTTTTCGGTTTCCATTTCCAAACCGTTTTGAGCTGGGTTTTCCGTACTGCTACCATACAAGTCTAAATCAAAAGGAATTAAGTCATCGTAACACACATATATTGTGTGAAAAGAGCCGTCCGTTATTTCATGCACGTATTTATGCAATATTTTTGCAAATGTAGACTTTCCAGCAGCAGGAATGCCACAAATTAACATTACGCCAATTTGGCCACTTTCGTCCGCCATGTTGACATGACAAACACGAGAGAAACTGGATCGACTCCCGCCATCCTCTACAGGTGCAATGTTAAATCTTCACGTGACTTTACATGTCCGAATAATTCAAGATGGAGAACAAGGGTAATGCAGTAGGTTTGGCAGTTGTTCCAGTTATTGTTGTAACGGCCATATGGGTAATTGTAGGTGCAATTGTTCCTCTTTTTATCAAAGGACCGAATAAGAGGTAAATGATATTTGATACTTCTCAAATTTTAATGCCACTGAACTCTCAGAAAAGACCCTTTAAGTCTGGCGAAATCCAATGTGAATGTAATGTTTCCGATATCCTTTACCTGGTTTAAATCTCTGTGAACCCTTTTCAACTCCTAAGATCTGATGATTTATTTTTACTACTAGTTGCCACGCATTTTCTTGTTCCGTAGTTAAAAGAATTAGGTGTTACGCGATATCAAGTTTGATTCTTTCTCATGGCTATTTTTAACCGGATAATGTTTTGAGATTACGAAGAGAAGTTCAGTACAATTAAATCATTTCTGGGGTTAGACGGTTAACTCCTCTCGGGAAAACATCATCATAAGCGTATTAAAGAAACTGAGCAGTTTCGGAGGGGTATAGCCAATCTTCTCCAAAAATTTAGCCTTCGACTTAAACTTAATTCAAGGGAAGAAAAGTAAGCTTATAAGGATGTTGAAGTGCAGTTCTTCAAGCTAAAATATTTGAAAACATGGTTTTAGGTTATGACAAAGTTAACTTTCCAACATTTGTGATTTCAGATTGATACAGACAATGCTTGTTATGACTGCTGTCTGCTGTTGGTTATTGTATCCTTTTAGAGTTTTGAGCTTCATAGCTATTTGCTTATTGAAATTTGTTTTTGATCTAATATTGGTACATTTGCATTTTAACTGTTTAAGGAAACAAGGAAAGTCACATTATTCAAGGTTCCTATTTCCTTAACTCATGATTTAGCTGGATTTGTGCTTATTTCTGTCAACTTAATCCTCTTATTGGACCAGAAATAGAAGCAGGGGCATTAAGGGCAGCTGTCAAGGAATGGGGAGGCAAAGATGTTTAGCCTCATGAATAACATTAAAGGTAAATACTAAAGGCTGGTTACAAGGTACTGACAAAAAAAGATGAAAATATAATGAAACTGATGAAGGCAGTAGAGCCCCCAAAATTGTAAGAAACAAACTTGGTGTGGTGTTCTTATGGTTTTCAATTGAGTGGCATCTTTTCAAAAACCTTTTTCTTTTACTGTATTGGCCCAATCAAACAGAAAAGGCATGTTACACAGGACACATTTATAAAGAAAAACAAAAGCTCTGACTTTGTTTAGACTTTGGCAGACAACAAAATGCTGAGATTTGCAGTGTTCCATTTTTAAGTAATCCATCAAACCCTTCCTCTTGTTTGTCAGGTACAAAATATTTTTAGCATCTTAATAAATAGGATTTTGTGGAACAACAATTCTTATATGTTTTCTCTTGACTCTTAAAGTGTACTCTACTATCTGCTACATTCAAATTGTTTTCAATACAGCATCCTTTGCATATTCCTTTGCAGTTATTAAAGACTGCTGACAAATA